TGATCTTTGGCTTCAGCAGGTGCAGTGGATCCCAGGCTGGGCTGACCCACAGACAGCTCTGGGGGTAGAAAGTTCATGTATTGACCCAGCAGACAGTGTCTGCCTCGTTGATGCTACTGAGAACTTGCACAGCTGAAGAAATCCCTCGTTTCCTTTCAGTCCCGTGTTTTCCCAGGCCCTACTGGGAATTAATCTGGGATTCCGCTTACCAGAGCTGCTGGCAGGAGGGGAGGGAGAGCCTGTGCCAGCTCCCAGCGGCATTTCCCGCTCACTGCTGCCAACCACGAGTGTTTCATTTCCTCCAGCACTCGAGGTTTCACTTTCGAGTTCTGCCTGGCAGCTGCTGGGAGGGGTTTGGCTTTCCTGGAAGCCATCTCAGTTGTTCTTCCCGAGAGAAGCCCAAATTCCTGCTGCTGATCCTCAGTGCAGCTCAGAGAGAGAAACATCATCCTTGCTGGGTGCCCTAGGGAACAGCCCCTTCCCTGGGAGTAGTTTTTGTGGTTCAGGTGAGGGGACAGGCGTGTGGCAGCTCTCAACCTGCTGGGACTTTCAGTTCCCGTTGGGCTCCTCCACGGCTCGCTGCTCTCGCATCCGGCAGCCACGGGGCTTTGTTCGAGCGTTCAGACTGAATGTGCCACACGAGGAGCTCTGCCCGGGCTGGGGCTTTGTGGCAGCTCATGGTGCCTGAGAAACCTCTTCTGGGTGGGGCAGGACTGCCAGAGCGGGGAGCAGGGCTGAAACTTCAGCCCTTGGGTGGGGTGTAGTGGATCCCTGCTGTGGGAGAAGGTGTCAGCTGAGCAGGACACCCCAGTGAGGGAGTGTGGGGGAGATGCTCCCCGTGCCCCATCCTTTCCACTAAAGGCTCAGCAGAGCCACATTTTCTCTGGGGTTCCTGCCCTGCAAAGAGTTTTCTCCTTCCATTTCAGAACAAAGGCTTCTCCAAGAAGAGTCACACTTTCCTGCCTAAAATATTTAGAAAAATGTCTACTCAATCAGCAAAAGAGAGACCTGAGAGTTTGCATTTCCCGTTCCTGGATGATGAAGATACCATCTCCACACTCAAAGAATCCAAAACCTTTTTCATCCTCCGGGGCCTGCCTGGCAGCGGGAAGTCCACCCTCGCCCAGGCCATCCACGATCGGTACAAAGACGCCTGCAGGGTCATCTCTGTTGATCACTATAAAATCACACCTCTAATAAGAAGCACCATTCCTGAAGAGTACTCCAAGGTGGATGAGGATCTAGTTGACTATTGCAAACGGGAGATCAGTGTCATCGTTTTGGATGACACTCACCATGAGCGGGAACGGCTGGACCAGCTCTTTGACATTGCCGACAAGTACCGGTACAAAGTCATCTTTGCCGAACCCAAAACCCCGTGGCGCTTGGATTGTCCCCAGCTAAAGGACAAGAATCAATGGAAACTAACTGTGGAAGAGCTGAAGAAGATGAAGCCAAGCTTGGAGAAGGAATTCCTCCCCATGTATTTTGGGTGGTTTTTGAGCAAAAGAAGTTCGGAGATCCTGAGGAAGGCTGGCCAGGCATTCTTGGATGAGCTTGGGAGTCTCAAAGCCTTCAAAAAGGAGAGTAAATACTGTATGTATAGATGTTGTCTTACCACGTTCTTACCTGTTGATGTTAACAAGTCTGATCAGCTTCTAAAGCCAATTTCTAAAGCTGTCAACAAAAGCTTTTTAAAGCTACTAACCTGGTCATCATAGTTGACAAAGTTGCTTTTGTAAGTAAACATAAAGAGTTTTTCCCATGTCTTTTTAGCTCTGGCACCACAGGGCACTGAGCTCAGGCAGCAGCACCAGGACATGGGATCCTGGGTGTCCCCTGGTTCCAACGGCTTGGGTGGGAAAAAGGCAAAGAGAGAGAAATGGGCAAGGCTGAACAATCCCATCCCTTAGGGGACCCTCACATCGTCAGGTTTAAGATGAGCCACGATGGTGCACAGGAGCTTCTGTTCTCTGGCTCCATCTGCCGTGAGCCTGGGAGGAGGGAGGGGTTTGGTTTCCCACCCAGCACTCCCCAGCAGTCAGAGAGATGAGATGTGAAGGCTGGGGTAGGGAAGGGAGCTGAGACTGGACCAGGGCTCGTGGGTTGACATCGGGGGAATCACTTTGTGACAGTGACATTGTTTACCTGTATCTGCAGTTCCTTCTGCTATCGAAGATCCCAAAATAAAAATAGATCTCACCAGCTACTTTGTGAAGAGGCCACCTGGGGTCCTGCACTGCACCACAAAATACACTGAGTTTGGAAAAGCAGCTGGAGCTGAGGAATATGCACAGCAGGAAGTGAGTGTTGGGGTCCCACCTCCTCCTTCCGTGTCCTCTCCCTCCCCAGCAGGGTGTCCATGAGCCTGGGAGAGGGTTGGGAATGGGCTTTGACCCAAGAGGCCAAATACAGGGACAGCAACTACGTCCATGTGGCCTGTGCAGAGAAAACTCCAAATTGTTGAGATGGTGATCGTTTCCTGTTTCTAAACAAAATACTCCCACTTTCCCTGATCACACATGGCTTCCAGCATCATCTCTGACAGCTTGAGCTGAATGATAATGAATTGAGGGACTTAGATTCCCAGATTGATTATTTCAGAGCACATAAGCCCGGTTTAAATATTGGAATTTGTGAAGAACAAAGACGTTACCAGCTCCGAATCCACAGAGCTGGGGTGTCAGGCACTGACCTTCTCCCTGCTCTGGGTGTTTTGACCGTGTCACAGCAAGAGCTGCCGTGAGCTGTCCCTGAGCCTGGGGACGGTGACCCCAGGGCAGCGCCGTCAATCTCCACCCACAGGCGCTAACTCTGTCCCTTGTGCGTGTCCCTCTCCTCCAGGCCGTGAAGGCTTCCTACGGCAAAGGCTTCACCCTCTCCATCTCGGCGCTGTTCATCACCACAAAGACTGTCGGGGCTCGCATCGAGCTGAGCGAGCAGCAGCTGCTGCTCTGGCCCGGGGACGCCGACAAGATCCTGCCCACGGACAACCTCCCGCGGGGCAGCCGCGCTCACATCACCCTCGGCTGCGCCAACGGCGTCGAAGCCGTCCAGACCGGGCTCGACCTGCTGGAGTTTGTGAAGCTGGAAAAGGCAGGGAACAAAGGGGAGCAAGTGGGGGAAATTGGAGGAGGGAAACTGCTGTATTTTGATAACGGTATGTGGATGCTTGTCCTGTCTAAAAAGATTGATGTGAGGGCGATATTTTCGGGATACTATGGGAAGGGAAAACTTGTGCCAACGCAGAGCACCAACAAACGGGGCTCTGCCTTTAGTTCCTGCACCATCATCTAGGAGCACAGGCAGGGCAGCTCCTCGGTTTGTTTTTAAAAGGCAAGTAACTCCTGTAACCTTAAAGTGTAAAGAGAAATAATTCTACCTTTACTAAAGTAAACCCTCCTGCCCACCCCAGCGTGAAGCCCCTGGGGAGTTATTGGCCTCAGAAAAGGAAGAAAACAAGCAACTCCTGACTGAAATTGTCACGGATTTTAATATGAGTTTTGGAGGGAACCAGCTGGGGTGTCCTGCTTGTTTTCCTCCTTGGAGAAAGATCAACTCTGGGGCTTTTATCGCTTCCCTCTGAACCACAATCGTTCGATCTTTACCTGTTGGCACTGACCGAAGCCTGTCAGTTGCTGGTCTGAAGCCAAGGGAACTGCAGGATGTCCCTCCCCTCCCACACCCAGGGACTGACATCGGCCATTCTGGGTCAGAACCAGCGAGACCCAGGCGTGGGTCACTCCTGTCAGGAGTCCTGTCCTGACCAAGGGTTTGGCCCCTAAGGACAGACCTCGCTGAGGGCAGCAGGTCCTGGCAGCCCGAATCGCAGGCCAGTCCCGCAGCTGCCCAGTGGGCTCCATCCCAGCTCCTGTCCCTCACAGCAGAGATGCTCTGGGGACAGCCAGGAGGAGGGCACTGTGCCAGGTTATGTCTTAAAGACACCAACCATGAACTTTGGGGAAATCAAGTGAAACAACAGGACAGGGAGCCAATTCCTGCAAAGCAGCTCCAGCCCCTTCCTTCCACCTGGGCTGGACCAAGAACCATCCCATGTCCTGTAGGGAACAATCCTGCCTTGGCAGGGAGTGGAAGAGATGAACTAACATCTTTTCCATCTTATTTGATATAAACTAAAATCATGTCTGAAGTACACAACTGGACTTCATGCAAGATTTTACTCCCTCTAATGCACTTGAATGTTAAGAGTTAGGCTGGAGTAACCCCATAGCGTAGGAAGCAGAGGCACCATAACTGTGTAACTCATGTCTGCTTGAACCTAAACCCTGGCTGGAAGTTACTGACCCAGCACTTTTGTCATTAAATGTTTTATTGAAACTTGGGTTTGTGCTGTGCCAGGCCCTGGCCCAGCAGGGCGGTGGCTCCTGGGCATGGTTTAACACAAAGCTCCACTAACAGCCCCAGGTAAGGTCCCAGCTCGACCTCCTGCTCTGGCTCAGGGTCTGGGGAGCAGCAGAGTGACATTAACCCACACTAACACTGTAAATACTGACTGTGTTTGAGGCGTGGGCTGGGCTGGGGCAGAGCTCACCCCGAGCCCAATGTAGCTGGGGCAAGGAGCATTTCTTCTCTGACTGTTGAAGCCAAAAGCAGGGAGAGCTTTGGTGCTTTTCTGGTACCAAACACTCTACCATGAAAGCAAAATACTTCCTGCTGTTCAGAAGCAAAGGATAAGAATAAATTCGCATTATAACATAAAATAGCGAGCTATAAACCTACCCAGAGCACCTGTGACCCTTCATGGAGAAACCCCCTCCGAGCTTCTGCACTGGCAGCAGCCGAGTGCCCAACGCTCAGCCAGGGCCTCTCCTGACAGAACCTCCAGGGTTTGTTCCACCAAAGCTCTACAAGGTATGTGCCAGCACCTGCTCAGGGGCTGGCTGAGCCCACTCCCCCAGTGCCCAGATCACTCCAGCACTGGAATCAACAGCTGGAATATCTCCTTCATCTGCCTGTTCAAGAACAACAGTGACAGTGTCGTTGTTTGAGTTTTTATTAGTTTGTACATCATATACAGTTTATAATAAAGTAAAACCGATTGCATATGAGTCTGCTCAGGCTGATTTCCCATACAAACACGGCATCAGGAGTTCTGCTAAGGAAGTAAACAACAAATATTCACATTTTTACCATTCACATCCTAGAAAGGGCGAAGAGGGACAGTTGGTACCGATGCGGAGCCCGGCCGGAAGAGGATGAGGAGTTTGGCAAAGCAATGAGACAGCGATTGCTCCATGCAATTCCCCTTTCCTCCCAGGGAAAGGTTGAGCTATGTACACTGAGGTAAACATTCCGAATTCCAATTCAGATAAATACGGCAGCGCAGGGACAAGCTCCTCTCCGAGTGGCTTCGCATCGGTGCCTGGGTTTGTCCTGACTGTTCTGCAATGTTGTGACACTCGTGCACTGTGGGGCTCTGGGTGCTCCCCCACGGCCCCTCGGATGTCACCTCACACCACACTGTTCACAGGAGCCATTAGGGGACAGGGCTGGGCAGTTGGACAGGCTGGGATGGCAGCTGAGCTGCTCGTCCCGCTGGCTTGGGGCTCCCCACGGATCCTGCCCTCCTGGGCCACCCCCGGAGCTCCAGCTCGGGCACGGTGTCCCAGCTGCCAGCAACACACCAGAGCTGTCCCTCCAAGCTCAGATCTGGGTCAGGGAAAGTGCCCAGCACTGCTCCAAGAAGGGATAACCCCATCCACAATGGTGGGAATGAGGAGAGCGGGGCCTGGCCAGGAAGGCCAAAGCATTTCACATCGGCTCCCACAATCACACAGGGACCCAGAATGGCCTCACAGAGCCAGGGACAGCCACCAGCTATTGCCACCTACCCCTGCCACAGCCCTGCCACAGCCACCCAGGGACTAGCACTGCTCCAGGGACATGGGTGGGTGCAGCACACAGTTGTCCTGTTCCCTACGGAAGAAGAGGGGAGAGGACAAGGCACGAATTTAAACAGGATGAAAACCATCCATTGGAAATAAGAGAATATCTGGAGTTATTACTGAAACTGACGAAGTCATTTGGAAACAGCAAAGCAGCACATGGCCCAACCCTGTGACTGTTTGATGGCTGCAGATCCAGGCCAGTGTGGCTGGACAGGGACTGGCACCAGGCTCCACATCAGACACAGCACGGTACCACAGCAGCATGCACTCTGCATCTCAGCAGATACAGAGTGGAGGGACCCGCTAATCCATGGATTATACTCTTGTACCTGAACAATTTGTCTTTCCCATTTTCCAGTTTGCATTTCTGCATTTACAATAGCCAGCAGCACAGGGGATCCTGCTCACTGAGCGCTCCCAGAATCGGAAACAAACCTGAAACATTTCTGTGCAGCCAAAGCAATGAGGAGCCTTAAGAGGGTGGCCAGAACCTCCTGGATGGACTTCACAGCTTTCCAACCCAAACTATTCTACGATTCTGAGCATGGCCAGACAAAACCACATCCAAGGCAAAGCCTAATAGCCACACAGCTCCTGATCTCCCTGCCAAAACTGCAGTCCTACAGCAGAGCCCTCACATGCCAGCTCTGCCCAAGCCACACTCCTCACACACTTCTCTTCATAACTTTCCCAGAGAAGCTGACAGCCACTCGCCAGTTCTCGAGCTGTTCAGAGCATCTACTCCCAACCTGGCTGGTGGAAGATGTCCCTGACACACCAGCCTGGTCTGGCTCTCAGCCATGGCAGCTCTGCTCTCTCCAGGTCCTTGTTGGCAGCAGCTCTAGCAGCACCAGCCATTCCCCCTTGGAGACCCTGGGCAGGAGCTGCCAGGCTGAGAGTCAAACCAAAGCGTGTCCATCCCACCATGCCTGTGCCTTGGGCAGCTGCTGCAACACCACCTCCTGCACCTCTGTGTGCTCTCTGTCCTTCTAGAAACAACACAGGCACAGCATCGCTTGAAGACGCTCTTGTGGTCTCTGCAGCAAATCCCTGTGGCTGGTGGTCCCCATGGGGCTGGTGGTCCCCCTGGGGCTGCAGGATGTGTGGGAGGGCTGTGAGCAGCTGGAGCATTGGCACTCTCATCTTGCCTGTAGCTACACCCAACCACAACCCACGGATAATGTCCTGGAACCACCATGTGTGGAGGCAACATTCCAAGCAATGCACAGCTGAGTCCATTTTTTGGAAAGAAGCTGAGTTTTGTCTCCCCAAGCCATACTGGGACATGGTGGAGGTCACAGTGCCACTGGGCACTGCTGCTGCCCTGAGGTGCCAGGTGCCACCGAGCCCTGCTCAGCCCTGCTCTGTGCTGTGGGGAACAGGGGCTGCACAGGGCCTGGGGCACTCTGGGCTACTGGAAGGTGTCCCTGCCCATGGCAGAGGGTTGGACTTGACAGCCTTTAAAGGCCTTCCAGCCCAACCCATTCCATGGTTCTATGCATTTGCCTTCACCTTGATTCACGTAACAACGCTCTGTAGAAAGTCTTGGCACTCACCATATGAATATTTAACTACATTAAATCATGCATTCATGTACAGGTTATAAATAGCTGCTGTATACATTTTCTCTCCCAGAAGCAGAGCCATTCCACTCCTGTGCTCCAGGGAACGGGCTCACTCAGCTTGGAGAGAAGGAAGGGAGGAAGGAAGCTGGTCACACTTCCCTGGGGCAGAGGAAAATGAGAATAAACCCACTGACAGACACAGAACATGGCTCTGCTCAGCAACAGGAGACTGAGAACAACCCAGACTGTACAGTGACATCAACACACACACGGGACGAGATGTCATGGATCCAAAATGCCACTAAACAGGCCTTGTAAACTCTGATTTACAGTGCCAGGAAAGCTGGGGAAGCATCAGTGTGCATAGACCAGTATTTCAGTTCCCCACGTATTCACCATTTCAGAGCCTGAAAAGTGGCAGGACCCAGCTGCTCCTGGTTCACCTGGGTGGGTCCATCCCTCACACCAGTGTGAAGGACATCAGAATAAACGTGGGAGAGTTGGGTTTTGAAAGTACTACTCAGCGCTGGTTCACTTAGAAAGCTGAGTTTCAAACCAGTTGTAAAATACTCTGTTCTGCAGTGCTAAAATTTAAGCCCTTAAATTTTCCCTCTACGAAAGCAGATTGTCAAGAATCCTGACCAAACACCACAGCAGGACCACGACAGCAACGTCACCAGCGCTGGAACCGCCGGGAGCTCCCCACAGCAGCCCCTGTCCTGCTGAAGGGCACAGCCCTCGGGAGGGAGGAAGACAAAGATGAGTGATCACCTCGTTCAGTGAGCTCGAAATGAGCTCCCTGCAGTGTTTGTTCTGCTTCGGGAAGGCAAATCAGGTGTTACACAGAGTCACTGGGAGGTTTTCTCTCAGCACAGCCCAGCCTGTGTGCACAAGCAGCCATTCTCTGAGCAAACTCCAGCCTCCAACAGCCCCACACTGCCAGGGTCAGCCCAGGAGCTTGGCCAAACCCCTGTGCCCCTCACTGAGCACAGCCCAGGACCCCCAGCCACGGCCCCACAGCCTCTTGCTCCGCTCACACCCCAGGCTGAGCCTGACAGCACCGTGCTCCAGAACCACAGACAGGAGCTCACACAGGGCACCTGGACAAAAAAGGTCCATGCTGTAGAGAAAAGGGGGGAATTCTGGAAGCAGAGCCCTCTCCCAGCTGAGACCCTGCTGTAACACCACCTTTTAGGTGAAAATCAAACTGCTAACAGGCAGTGCCCCACACCAAACCCACCAGGACACGGCTCCAGGCCGGAAGCTCTTCCATCCCTCCAGCTCCTGTCCTGACACTGTGCAAGAGAAAGTACAGACTGTCAGTTCAGAGCTGGACTTGCATTTTCTTGCTGCTTTGGAGGAGTAAATCACTGCCAGGGGAAAACCAGGTTAAGTAAACACACAGCTGCTGCACATCAGGAGTTCAGCGCTGCACATCCCAAACCACCCATGATCCCTGCCTGGAATTCACTTGGCATTGAAAGACTCACCCATGTCATGGATCAGTAACAGGAAATCACACATCAAGCTCAACAAAATCAAGTTTAGCACAAATATAAAATATTCAAGTGGATTAATTTAAAAAAGTACAGTGAAGGAATTCAGCCCAGAGCAAATTCAATATTCCCTTAAACAGGACAATCTTGGGAACACAAAGCCCTTAATTCCAGCTGCATCACAGGGAATTCTCACATAAGCTGCTCTTTAAGCAGCATTTCTCTGATACAGAATTGTAAGCTCACACATTATCATAGAAGTTTAATGCCCAAGTGGGCCTTGCTGGGAGAACCATGAAAAAAAAAAACCAAAAGAAATAAAAAAAGCCAAGAAGCCAGGCTTGCAGGTGAAATGGGATTGTACAAAACTGGATTGAGCCTTGGCAGTATTTCCAAAAGATTAAGATAACTTACAAGTTACTCCAAACCCTGGACATGCTGCTTTGGAAGCAACCAGAACAAACCAGGAATTCCTTCTCCCTCTCACATGTGGAGATTCTGGGAAGATTCCAGGAAATCCTCTGTGCAGAGGGGCAGAAGCAGCTGAAAGCACGGGCCAGCATGGAGGGACCAAGAGATTCAAAGCTTTATTATTTTTTTTTTTTTTTAATAAAGTTAACAGTAAAACAAAATTCACAAGCCTTCCCCTCCCGAGCTGGTTTCCTCTTCACACACACAACACACAAACAGAGGCTCCAACCCAGAAATGAAACTGCTCTAAGGACAACGAGACGTGATGGAGGAGGAGTCTGGGGCTGTCCGTATTCGAGGTTAAAAGAAGCAGATCAGGTATGTGTGGTTTGATTTGTGTTTGTTTGCTTCTTAGCCAAACTGGAAAAAGAAATTTCCAGGCCCAGAAGCTGAAAAAGAAAATGGAAGATAATCAGGACTTTTCAAATCCAAATTGGTTTAGTGCAATCTTAAGCAGCACATGGATGGCCAAGCCCACACACAGCTCCAGAACAGGGAGCCCCTGGGTCTGTGGCTTTTGGAACCCAGAAGAACCAGAACCAGCCACCAGCTGACACTGCAGGCAGAACTTTGAAAAAGCTCTTAAATTTATGCAACAGACAAATGCTCTTCTCAAGTACCACATCCACTGGGAGCCCCAGCTGCCCTGCCAGGGGGATCTGCGTACTTACGATTCCAAGGCTGGGAGGAGAACACCTCACCTACCTTCGAAGCTGAAGCCCCCTGGCCCGCTGAAGAAGGCCTTGAAGATGTTATTTGGATCAAATTCTACAGGGAAGAGAAGGAATTCATGAGCTGCAGTGAAACAGCCATCACATTCCCACAGTTGAGGAGCTGTCAGCTCACTGAGGGTCCAGAGAGTGTCTCAGAGTGGCCGGGCAGGGGGCACAGGGCTGGCTCCCAGCACCTGGGGCCATGTTAAGTGACCACAAACAGGTAAAGCAGCTGTCCCAGAGAGAGCCTGCCACAGGGCAGCCTAAAGATCTGGAGATGCAGCATTTAGGGACTCACAATTACACTATTTAACACATCCCGTGACAGATTGCCAAGGACAACACCCACCAGTATTCCAGCCTGAACTGGGAACACTCAGTGCTGTCATCCCTGTCATCCCAGCGCTGTCAGGGACCAAACCCAGTCAGTTCATGGAACCATTCCCAACAGGAGGCTTGCTTTAGGGGATCAGGCAGACTCTAAAGGGTCTGATCCTGGTAAAGGCTGCCATGACAGAGTATTGTAAAGAACACTGACCTCCCATGTTTAATCCATCCTCTTCCAAATCCTGCCCACTGTCATAACGGGCCTTCTTCTTGGGATCTGACAGGATGGTAAAGGCCTCACCAACCTCCTTAAATTTCTTCTCCTCCTCCTTCTGTACTTCTGCACTTGCTCCACTGTGTCGGTCTGGGGATACACAAACAAGCAGGAAAAAGCTTTTAATTTCCAGTGCAAATGGATAATGCTGCACATTCCCAAGCTCCTGTCCCAGAACATGCTCCAGATCTGTGGGGTCAGAGCTGCTATTTCCCAGAAATTCCCTCTTCCACATGCATTTCTGCCTCAGTGATGCTGCACAGGGCACATAAAGACTGCTGTGGGTACCTGGATGGTGCATTAGTGCTCGTTTCCTGTAAGCCTTCTTGATCTCATCTTCGGAGGCGTTTTTGTTCACCCCCAGGATTTTGTAGTAGTCTTTCCGTTTGCTCTTTTTCAGTTCCACCTGTGCATTCTTTAGGAGCTGCTTGTGTTCTGGAAAAGAGCACAACAAACACCAGAGGGGAGGAGTTATTCCATCTCTTCCACTTCAGGCCACTCAAAAAGCAAGGGGACAGTCAAAAACAAGAATCAAACCCAGACATTCTGAACCCCTTGCACTGCCTCAGACACAAGCTGAATTGTTATTTCATCATTCAATGCTTGGAGAGAAACCAGACCAGAGACAGGGATTTTCAGTGACTCTGAGGGCTTCTCCATACTGTCCTGCTGGGGTATTAGGCTGCAAATTACAGCATATTGTGGGGGGAAAAAGGAACAACAAAAAAATTGCCAGTTCAGGGAAACTTGTGCACACACAGAGAGTGCCCTTGTGCTCACCTTTTGTTTTCTCTGTCTGATAAACCTTCTCATAATCTCTTACAGCATCTTCATATTGTTCTGTGTCCATGTAACTGTGGAAAGAAACACTGGTGGCCAAGGTGTCCCTCACAGGAACATCAAAAGGGGTTCAGTACAGGCTGTCTGTGTGGATGTGGATTAAGAGAAGTGCTCAGGACTCAGCAGATCAGACCTCAGAGGAACCCACACAGGGCTACTGCTGGGAGCCCTGACACTTGTGGGAAACCCTGGCAGAGGAACCCACACTCTGGGCTCCAAGGGGACACTGTAAACTCCTTTGGCAGCACAAGTTCTGCTTTAACAACCTGCTCATTCCAATATGCAGCTGCAGGAACTGATCCCAGGCAGCCTGAGCTCCAGGGAGCTGGTGCAGGGTCAGAGCTGGCACAGAGCTTCACACTGGCAGTGCTGGTCAGGAGTGACAACCCTGGCACCTCCGAGGGACATGTGTCTGTCTGTCAGCCTTACACACACATTACTCACTGTAACTTAGCAATTACAGAGATGGGAGGCTGGGAAAGATTGATCTTGGAGGTCTTTTTCAATCTCTTTTGTAACCATTGTAAATTTGCAATTGCAGACATGGAGAGAGAGGGGCTCTCTGGGACAGAACCTCTATAAACACAGTAAGCTGAGTCAAGATTTAAAACAAATCCTCCCTAAATCCTGTTCAGATTGGACATGAGGAAGAATTTCCTCAGTGAAAGGGCATAGGGTTAGGCATTGAAACTGGTTGCTCAGGGAGTCACCATTCCAGGTGATGTTCAAGGAACAACTGGATGTGGTACTCAGTGCTCTGGTCTAGTTGACAGGATGGTAATCAGTCAAAGGTTGGTGCCAATGATTTTGGAAGTCTTTTCCAACCCAAATGATTCTATAAACAGAATAATATAATATATATATTATAATATAATAACCAAGAGGCAGTTCCAGATCCAGGCAGGCAGGAGAGGCCACAGAGAGCTACCCCCCATCTCCTCAGCAGCAAAAGGAAGAGGAAAAAATTCAGGGCCCCACCCCTTCTACTCAGTTAAGATCCAGATTTGCGATCCTGTCCCTCAGAGCTGCCAGGAGGACACTCCTGCCCACACACCTGCTCAGGTGTCAAGGTGTACTCACCACTGTGCCCTCCTCAGGTAGGCTTTGATGTACGTGTCATCCAGCTTCACTGCGTTCGTGCAGTCATCGATTGCTTCTTCAAGTTTCCTAAGCTACAACATCAGACACAAGTGAGTAAACCCCAGACAGAGAGCAAATTCTGCATCATGACTTTAGGCAAATGAAAGGTGTGTAGAATCTGGGAAAGTCTCACTGTTTTCTGTGTCTCTGTCTAGGATTTTTTTTCCCAATTTTCCCCCAGACACTGAGCTTTTGTTCCCTGGGAAAAAAAAATCAGCAGCCTGGCCAGTGCTATGTGGTGCTTCTGTGTAAGAAATGCACTCAAAACCATGTGCCTTCCTGATAACAACCCCAATTCTGTGTCCAAACTAATTCCTGGGCAGGAAGATAAACCTAAAAATATTTAAAAGAAATCTTTTTTAGAAGAAGTGTTGTTTGTTTTCAGACACAAACATGTAAGACACCCATTAAGTGGCCACTTCCCAGGTTTTGGGAACAGCCTGTGTCTCTGACCAAGTGGAAAAGTCTGGGAAAGCAGCATCAACACTGGGACAGCTGAGGAACAAAAATGCCCAGAGGACACAGGGTGGGAATTGGGAGCACTGTCACATGACTGGCTGTTTCTCTGGATAGTGCAGGACTAAAATTCAACAGCAAAGCTGAAGTGTCATGGGGCTTTAAATTAGGTCTTATTTTTTTTTTTTTCATAAAAGCACAAAGCAAGACGTGATTTACAAGAAAATCAATCTGCTCATCGCTGGGAAGGAAGGAAAGAGAGACAGGAGTGCTTTTTGCTGACTAAGATAAGGCTAAAGCATGTCCCTCCTCTCCCTCCCACTCTGTGCAGCCCAAGTATTTGAGTTTTGTTTCTGCAGGAGTCGATTGCTGGCTATTGGGAACTGATCCAAGTCTTGTGCAAGCACAAAACCCTGAAACACTGCCCATGGCCTCAGAGATGCAGCTGCCCAGCAGGCAGGGGGGCCTGTGCTTGGCAGAATAACTGATCTGCAGTTTATCACTGCCATGGTGGGGTTATGGTGACAGACACCTGCCAGGTGACTGTGCCTTACCTTTGAATTAACCGTCCCCCTGTTGCAGTAGAGTTTGGCATTTGTTTTGATATTATTTGGGTCTATTCCTAGTGCCTCTGTGTACAGTTCATACGCTAGTTTGTAGTTGCCTTTCTTGAACGCTTTATTCCCGTCTTCCTTCTTCGCTTTAAGTGCTTTGGCATTCTGAAAGGAAACAAACCTGGGTAAGATGAGGTCAGGGGGACCAAGCACCTTGTTCTGCCAGAAAAGGGTCCTCAGACACAACAGCTCTAATCTGGTTTCAGACATTGCTGCAGGATACAAGCCACAGCTTTGTTCCAGCAGCTGAAATGATCTGAAAGCACTTTGCCTTTCCCCCAAGAGAAGCACCAAGGAACAGCCAGCGCCAGTTCCAGGCATCCTCCATAGGAAAAAGGCTGCCTATTTTTTAAGATGAGAACATGCCAGTGTAATAAATTTATGGATTAAAATGACTGGGAGCTCACTTTTTGAGAGAACATGAACAGATTTAAAGTTGGTCAAAGAGCCACACCAGGGGAAGGAGCAACACCAAGGAAGTGTTAAATGAAAGGCTATAGGCCTGGATATTGGACCTGAAAGTCAGGAATTCCTTTAGAACCAATGTAACTTTTTATTTCTCCTCTGCCTGACCAGGGAACAGAGTGAAGGAGAGGCTGCTTCCAAGTATCAGTGCTGAGAAACAGTTTCTAGGAGCTTGGTTTCATCTGAGGCAGCAATTAACTGTCTTTGGGAAGGGTTGGACACACTGCCTGCTCCTGGAAGTCCAGGAAAGGCAATGGTGAGGGAGGGAGAAGGGATTGATCCAGCAGAACCAAACTATGCGTTGGGTTTAAAAAAAGCCAAATCCCGGTGATTTTGCAGCCACATCTCCACCACTTACCCGGCAGGCAAGACAGGCCTTCTCATGGTCAGGAGCCATCCTGAGGGCCTGCACAAAGAACTGCACGGCCTTCTCGATGCAGTCCTCGTAGTACAGGCACAGCCCACGCACGTACAGCGCGTCGGCGTTTGTCGAGTCCATCCGTAGGATGTCACTGCAACACACAGCAATGGAGGAAATCTTCCTCATTCCCATTTCCTTCTGACCTCCACTGTGGTACTCAGATATTTCAACAAGTCTGTGGTACAGGTAAGCCAAAAGGCCAGAAGCCTCCCCAAACAGGAAGGCTGCTTGTGAATGGGGTCTGGATGCAGCTTCCCGGGAAGATTAATGTGCATAAATTCCCTCCTCATCACAACATGCACTAAGGAATATTGGTATTTTATATTCCCTGACTTATTCCTGTCATGGAGCACAGGCAGCAGCCAGGACACCCCACAGGTGTTCCCCAGCCCTCAGACACTCACCTGGCCACAGACTGTGCCTCGGGGTACCGGCCCAGCAGCGCCAAACACTCGGCCTTGAGGATTTTGAACCGGTGACATGCGGGAGCAAACTCCAAAGCACGATCCATGCAAAACACAACCTGGGGTGGGAGAAAGCACAGGCGTGAGCACAGCTAAGAGCCAAGGGCCTGGTTTGAACAGCTGCCCCTGTGTGAGATGTGTGTTTGACCAGGAAGGCGAGCGTGCAGACACCCACCTCCACTGCTGCTGGAGACAGATTTCATTGGAAAATTTTCCTCATATGCAGGTTGTGCCTTTCAAAGGGCTTTGTGTGCCAAGGTCTGAGGCATCTGCTGCATTACTGCGACAGAGCACTACACAAGACTCAAGGGACACCTGTAGGAGGTTCATCCCTTTAAGTCTTCTATACTGTAAGCCCTAAAGAAAGGGCCAAGAAGGACAATCCTGCCCCTGTTTCCTGCGGTATAAAGACATGTGGGAGGGACAGAAATTCAATAGATTGAGACAGTTTGGACTGGACAAAACACAAAAAAGTACAGTGCAAGGGCTGATCTTCCACTGGCCTGACAGCCATGGGCAGGGTGAGCTAATGGGTCTTTTCCATCCCTGCACTCTGGTGGGGACATCTGTGCAAGAACGGGGCATTGTTCCCCAAGGTTCATCTGCTCCTCGGCCCGTGACATCACGGGGCCCTGCTGTGGGAAGCACTGTGCTCCAGAGCCAAGGGCTCCTGGGTGAGACAGGAGCAGCTCTCCAGAAACAAAGATCATGTTTCATGTTGGCCTCCCCAGTGCAGTGGGACTGGGGAAGTGAGGGACAGATGCAGATGCCCAGGACGTGCAATACAGGCAGGGCAATTCCTACACAGGAAATTCAGATGGATCACACATCCCATTTGCTCCTCAGAAACAGGTGATACAAAGCTGGGATTTACCCTTCCAAAATCTTGAGTTTAGCCTAAGAGTGACCTGAACAATGGGCTCAATGTACCAGACAATCTCCTTTCTGGGATAAATCTGAGGCTTACATACATCCACTGCACAGAAGCAGTTGCATGAGAAGTGCTTGGTGCCTTTCAGATTTCATGCTGTCATTTCTTGTTCTATCAGGTCAGTACCAGCTGCATCCTGTTACAATCCTTGAGAAGAAAGATTTGGAAGTTGTAAGGAGAATGCCCCATGCAGATCTGCATTCCTCCTTGTACGACCCTCACTGGCACACAGTCTGCTTTTTTTTTTATTTCAAAGAGCTGAGAAAGAAGAATCCTGGATATGCATTTCAGGAGCAAAGTGTGATCAAATGCTGCTGCTGACAAAATCTGCCTCAAACAGCTCAATCATGACTGCACTTACCCTGCAAAGCAAACAGTGACAGAGGGTTGGCCTGAGCCAGTCACCTCCTCACTTGTCATTCAGTCAGTGCTCAGGGAGCATGAGCTCTGCCACTTTCAGAGCTGGCACAATTCACCAGCCAGCCCTGCTCCAACAGATGTGGCACAGCACCTCCCAAACAAGGAAACCAGCCACACACCTGCCTGGGCCACGTCAAACACACCAGTTCTTATATAAGACCACACTAAACAAGTTAATCTCACCTTCCTGAAATCCCGTTTCTCAAAATCCACTTCAGCTATTTTTTCATACTCAAGCACAGTCGTGGCATTCTTCAGCTGAAAGACAGAACACACAAGTGCTGCAGGACAGTCTCTGCTTTGAAATGCCACCAAGCAGCATTTGAACAGCCAATCCCTAAATGGCAGAGTCAAAACTACTGCAGACCATGGACCAATAGTGCAGATGACATGAATACTTTTGCCAGCATTAAAATCAGCTTGAAATAAAGTAACTGAACTGGGAGTCCAGGAAAATGTACTCTGTGAGAGAGACACAACAGTGGCAGCTGCCTTACACTACTCTCCATTTCTCCTTTGGCCAGCTCAGCCTCCTCAGCATGTACTGGGGACATTTAAATGTGAACATCCTCTTACCTCCTGTTGTGCCTGGGTATTCTTATGGTCCAGTTCTAGAACTCGTTGAAAGCAGCGGCTAGCAGCCATGGCATTCCCTAGGGAAAGGTGACACTTCCCTTCCCGGAGGTGGCCCTGGGAACACAGGTAAAGGGGATTTGCAAGAGCTGTAACAGCTGCAAACAAGGGACTGAATGAGGTGCCTGAAGGTCTCCACGTACCCGTACAAAGCTGTCGTCCAACCTGACTGACTGCTGGGCATCCTCCAGTGCTTCTCGGAACCTCCCCAACATCATGAGTGTGGCAGCTCTGTTCCCATAATAACTGGCATTATTGGGACATGTATCTGGAGACAATGCAAGACTCACTATCAGCGTCACACAGCAGCTGCACAACTTGAGGCACTTCACACACTGGCCCTGACTGGCATTATCGATCTGGTGACATTTCCCAAGGTAATTAAAGCAGGCAAGAGGTTTTCATTCAGCAAGTGGTATCAGAAACCCCATTGGTGTGTTTGAAATCAGCAACCAGCTCCAATTTTAGACATGGTATTCAGCAAAGATTGATATTATCAGCTGTTCTCACCTATGGCTTTTGTGTAGTAGTTGAACGCTTCGTTGTAATCTTTCTTGGCATAGTACGCATTTCCCTGCTCCTTGAATGCTTCTGCTTCTCTGAAAGGAAGCAAAACACCACATTTTCAGAAGGAATGAACACCAGACAGACTGTGACCATGACAAGCATTTGATTCCCAAGCAACCTCAGTGTAACTGTTTAATGCTCCAAATTTAAGCTGGTTCTTGTGAGATCCCCTCAGCACACCCCATTTCCTGCTGGCTCCCACATACTCCAGTGCTTCTGCAAGGTGCTGCACCTCAGAACAAAAGAGACACTGCTGGCTCCTTCAGGAGTCCCGCATACTTACGAACAGAGCCAAGAACAATTTCCACATTCAAAAGACAGCTAAATCAAAGAGAAATATGGGTACAAGCCTGCAACAGAAGCCTGGCACTGCCTTGGCAACAGGTCTAGAAATAGTCCTCACACTCAAGAGCAAGCATTTGCAGAGACAGTTTGGGACATTTAAAAACACACAACATATGGTTTAAAGCAGCTTCCCTTAAACTCTCGAAAGCGAAGCTTCCCCTGAGGGAAACCAAGCCCCTTCTCTTCCCTCATCTCCCTTCAGCCTTTCACCTGCACAGGGCAAGAGGGAGGGCACATCACGGTGATGGAACAGTGAATGTGAGCAGTGCTCAGCAGGCTGACCTGGGAGAGAACAAAGGGAATTGTGTTGGAACAAATTCCCATGTTTTCAGCCTTGCTCAGGCTGCCATTGGCTGTTCCCACACAACCACCTCATGCAGGGGTTGTTTTCACTGAGCCATCGAACATTTCCCAGCTGGCAGAACAATGGACACTGGGAGCTGGGAAGTGTGCTCTTCACTTTCAGTTTTAAATTTTTCTGTGGGCTACACCCCAGCTGAGTCCAGCCACAGCCCTGCAGGAGTTAAACCCTGGGATGAGATGGGTCAGAACTGTGGCAGAGCAAGGGGTAGAACACACCACTGCCCCCCTAGGGCCTTGTCCTGGCTCCCAGGTCAGCTCCTCCCACCCCTGCTCCAGAAAATGATGAATTTGCCCTTTGGAGAGGGGAACTGCCATCCCCCTCTGCCACTCCCAGTATCACACCTGAGGCAGGTGCTGCAGCCTGGCTTTTCCTCAGGAGCCAGAACCCACCAGAGTCCCAAGAATTCTGCACCCTCTCAACTACACCGATGTGCAACAAAGATATGCCTGTGAGATGGAGCCATATCACAAGCATCAGGATGCAAACTCTGCATGATTAAAATGTTTCCAAACACAACTATCTTTTTTGAATATTACAGATCAAATATCCAAATACAGTGGAAAAAGTGCTCAGCACTTCGGCACTTTTGGAACCCGGGCAGTAAAGAGTTTCACTGTTCTCTTGTTTCTGTAATCACAAATAGAAAAGAAAATCACAGATTTTAAGTTCCTTCCCTCAGGTCTCCACTGTCTAAAGAAACAGGTGAACAGTTCTAATGGCAGAACCCACCTGAGCCACCATCACAACCTGTTCAGCACAGTGGGCTGAGTCATAAATCTTTGAGCCATTTTACCTGTCCTGTCCTGAGAATTACCACCTAACAGACACAGCTAAAGGCTGGCTGCCAGAGAATCCCATCTGCCACAAATTGCTGGGAAGTGCTGGGAAAATGGGAGAAAGAAAACATAACCCCAGCAAAACCAATTTTCAGAAAGCGACTTTGAGGTGCCAGAGAAACATCCCCACACAAGGATTAATGTTTTCTACTCTTTTTTATTAGTCTGTCTTCCTTTTAAGCATTTTAATACAGATCAATGTATCAGCAAGCCACAGTGCCTCGGGTGACGCTGGCAGAAAGAAGAGCACAGGTATTTCTGCTGCTCACATGGCCTAAGGCTTAACAATGAATATTGTGAAAGCAAATCACCTCCACAGCATGAAGGCAAAGGACCTGCTGGAGCTGTCAGGCTGGGCTCGAGCTCCAGCACCAGGACAGGAGCAGCTCTGCCCTGTTGTGCCCTGATGACACACAGAGCACACAGCCCTTGTTTACCACGGCTCTGGCTCCAACAAGGAGAACTGCAGGCCCTGATCTCACTGGGGATTGTTTCACCCCAACAGATGCTGTGGTCTGAATGAGCTCATTCTGCCTCCTGCGCTGCTGGGGCCTGCGCTCCCCACTTGCTACTTTTGACACTGCAGAAGAATCGTGCTTTGCTAAAAATACGCCCCCAGCTGAATGGGTGTCTTTGTGACAGTCTGTGTCTTCGTGGGGCTGCTCCATGCTGGACACAGAAATGGAGAAGAGCTGCACCAAGGAGCTGGGTAAGAAGCTTGTTTTTCATCACTCACATGCACCACAGGCACAGGAGGGGCTGGTGGGAGTGATTCTCCTTGTGAGCGAGGCAATTATTTTTTTTTCTCTTTTATGGTATTTCTCAGCATCTCTGATACTTGAAATACTTTTGTCCCAGTCACCCCAGAGAACCTGCCAGCACTGAACTGTGGGTTGGAAAAAACCTCCGAGGTCTTTGAGCCCAAGCTGTGATCGATCACCACCTTGTCAACCAGACCAGAGCACTGAGTGCAATGTCCAGTCATTCCTCAAACATCTCAGGGATGGGGACTCCAACTGCTCCCTGGGAAATGCCTGACAACTCTTCCTGCAAAGAAATTCCACCTGACATCCAACCTGAACCTCTTCTGGCACAGCTTGAGGCCCAGGAAGACGAGCAGCAGCTGCGTGCAGTGACACTCCCTCGCACACTCAAGCTCTGAGGATGGAGCTCGCTGCCTGCCTGGGGAGAGAGGAAGCAGCACAAGGCTCCTTCTCCTCCCTGTGCCCTGTGAAAGCTCAGCCCCTCCTCATTCCAGCACAGCAGCTCTTGGAGAAGCCATCCTGCACACACTGACACAATCCCACGCTTGCCTAACAACTCCTGCCTCCTCCTCAGAGCTTCCACACGCTGCCCCCGCTCGAGTGCCGATCGTGGCTTCCACCTCCCACTCCAGCTCCCAATGAGACTCCTGCAGACACCTGATTTTCTGTCATGGGAACCTTTAGGGATTTGTAACCCAGCAGCTCTTGGTCCAGGTGTGCTGGCACAGTCCCTGGGTAGGGATGTGCCACAACAATACCACCAGGGACAGAAATCCAGCACCTAAGCAGGTGGCAGAGTCACTATCTGCCAGCTCTCCTGACCCTCACTCCCACTTCACTGCCTGCCTCTGTTATGAAATGGTGGCAAAACCCTAAAATAGCCAGGATTTAAGAAAGGCTCCAAAATCCTGTCCTGACCAAGCAATCTTTCCTGCTAGGCTCTGGCAAAAGCAACATACCTGCCAATTTTGTGCAGTTCTTGCAGAGGCTTTTTCTTTAATAGGATATGGTGCCTTTATCAGGCATTTTTGGGGGTGAAATCCCACCCAGACTCTCAGCTGTCAGATGTGACTCAGCCGCTGGGGTAAAATAAGTTGGGTGATCTCAATTCAGTTTACAGCAGGCAGATGTCTAGAGCTTAAAATTAGCCATCATGTTTGCCCCTGGACACACAATACTCTCCCCTCCCTTCTTTCAGGACTTGGAAGAGAAACAAAGCACTCCATGTGTCACAAAGATACACAGGATGCACTTTGGAGACCTGTCCTCAGGTAAGGTTTGACACTGAGTGAGGATTCAGGATTTATATTTACAACTTCCTCATGAGAGGCTGCAGAGGGGCAAGCACTGAGCTCTCCTCTCTGGTGGCCAGGGAATGGCTGGAGCTGGCTGAGGGAGGGTTAGGTTGGATATTAGGAAGAGGTGCTTCCCCCAGAGGGTGTCTGGGCACTGGGACAGGCTCCCCAGGGTTACACAGTGTGTGTAACACGCTGCTATGCCCTGGCTGGGCAGTGCTGGCACGCCGAGGGCAGAGTGGAGCTTTTTCCTGGCACATCAGCTCCCCCCAACGCGTTCCTGGAGGGTTGGCTCCGTGGGCAGCACACACACCATGGCAGAGCCTCAACGCAGCCCCCAGCCCGGGAAATCCGAGCCTGGACGCGCAGAAATCTCCACCAATGGGCAAAGGACTCTCCTGCAGAAACATAACAACGGGCTGCCTCGAGCACCTCCAAGAGCAGAGCTGAACCTGAACACAGAAGGTGCTCAAACCCTCAGAACATTCCTCATACCCGAGGGCAAACTCAGAGGACCGAAAGAGCCACAAGAACCAAAATATGCCACAAGAAATCCAAGAACCGACCCAAACCTTCCCTGCAGCCATGAGTGAGAGCAGCAGCCGAGCCCCAGCTTTAATTGTGCTGTTATGTAATTCCCAGAGCTTGGAATTAACCTAATTCCCAGCAATGGCCCCATCACGCCTGGCAGGTCCACAGTGTAACTTCTGTGAAAACCTATGGAAGGGTCTAGAATCAGCCTGAGAGTGCTTTTTTGAAGGAAGCAATTCGTTTCAAATGAAGGAAGCCAGCCAGCTTAAGAATTCCAGGGGAAAACAACTACATTATGATTCACCTGAAAAAAGCACATTTCATGTTAAAGAAATAGGCTGAAACTGTAGCTATGGGTCACCTTTTCCTGCTGGATAAACCAACTGCCTAAGTTAGATATTCAAATACCCTGGAGATGCATGGGGAAGCAAACAACTACACAAGTATCTTCTGCTGCTTCTGGTATGATCATAAAATAATTCCAGGTGAGTAAAATGGGCTGGTTTATCACCTGGGAAACCCAAGTGCCCACTTACAGGCAGAACAGGAATAGCAGAGCCTTCTCCAGGTTATCCCAGAATGACTGGGTGCCCCTCAGATGGCTCAACCCTCCTGCCAGTGCTGGAAAAGCAGAAAGCTGGTGAGAAATGACATCCATTCTGGAGGAGCCTCACTGAGATGCACTGGAAAAGCCTCTTGGTGCTCACCAACACCTGACAACTTCCAGGTAACACCTGCAGACCTGACCAGTGACCACAGCCTGGCCAGGCCCACAACCTCTGGGACTCTCCATGCTCGTCACTTTGCTCTGGGAAACGTCGATGCCCCGCAGAGGCACCAACGCATCCCAAGCCTGCAGCAGGGGCTCTGCAATCTCCTGACAGTATTTTCCCAACAGCTAGATGTATTTCTTTTTAAGAGGCTTCCACATGCTCCAATGCTGAAGAAGGAGGAGAAAGATCCAGCCTGGAGCACGCACGGGAGCCAGAACCCTGAGGTGCCAGGAAGATGACAAGGAAATTCTCCCTGGCAAAGCTCCAGGGGCCCAAG